AAGTTTGTATAACTCGAAGAAGAAAACCTTTTGTCGTACGTCAGTAATGTCGCAGATAAGGGGTCTCCAGCCATATATTTACTTCCAATTTCCGGTCTCTCTATTTCTCCCTCAACTAAAAGTCAATGGACCACGAGTTCTTGTGTGAAGAGCATCTTGAATGCCGCTGTAATACGTCACTTTAAGCCGCGCCGTATCTTATACCTCGGACTAGTGGATTGTTAATTAAAAAAGAAACGTTGTGAAGAAGCTATTTAGAAAAGTGCACACAGTTATTTCCACTTATATTAATGTTGTGTTCATTTAATAACTACTAAATTGATACATTTTTGTTGGTTTTGAATATAATAAAAAAATCAGTAACTTATGAATAAAAAAAAGTTACTCCTTTACGATTTCTTTAAGAACCAGGAAACTTAGTAGGAATAAAATTTTCAATAATAAAGTAACACTCAGCAAGTGAACAAAACAAGCTAATAAAAATAGCTTGAATATTATTATACATTGAAAAATCATAGGAATTACAAAATTACAAAAGATAGAATCTATCCCCAACACAGTACATTATAAGAAAAATTGGACTTATTGTCACTCAATTTCACTCAATAAGGTATCAATTTATGTCCATCCGATTGAGTGAAATTTTCCTTTATTAGTATGAGTAGGTAAAATTTTATGAGTGAAACTATCAGTTCTAGTTCAAATATTATCAAAAATGTGTAAAATTATCAAAATATTGACTGAAAATATACTCAATAATTTCACTCAGTGGATTCACTCACCTTTCACACATACCGATTTATTTGCAGTGTATTCACAGGGATTTTATATACGGGCAATGATGTATGATCTATTTACGACAAATATGTCTCATAAAATTGCGAATCATATTACACAATTCTACATGCTTGCTAAATAGGCTACATTTCTAATAAATTGGATTCGATATCAAAAATTAATTTTCTTAAGTATTCTGAATACATTTACAACCTAGCAACACTGTACCATTTCACATTGTGACGTCATTGCAAACTTATCGTAAGTGGACTATAATAAATAATATCAATAATAATATCTCTACTCCTCATTCTAACTACGAGAGTTAGTCCAGAATTCGGAGACTTGTGCGGGAGAGGAGGCGGCATATTATTATTACGGAGGCCGCATTTGCGCCTAGTAACGACTTATGTTGGTAGGCCCTAATCACCATTCAGTGCAAGAATGAGGAAAACCTGGAAAACCTCATTAATTAGGGGGGCGGTCAAAATGCCAACCGGTGTCAATCTCTCACATTGACCCAAGCCGACATTCTTCCACCCTACCATACCTGCACAGAGGATGCCAATCCTCCGTACAAGCATAGCTAATCTACGGTTTACCGGCCGCGGGATTTGAAACCCGGTCAGATCGACACATCGATTTAAGTACTGACGCCGTGCGGTTAACGACCATAAAATGTCAACTAATTGACAGATAGTTATTAAAATATCTTATATAGGGAAAATATAGAATAACATTAAATGGAACAGATTGGAACTAATTAATAAAAGATAAAATATTTCAGTCAAAATATGCATCAATTTGTATACGAAAAAACAATGAAAAATTGCTGCGTTTCTCTAAACTTAATAAATTATACACATTAACGGTATGTCCGCGGATTGAGTTTACAAGAGGGCAAATGGACCAAAAAGTGAGAAACGAAAAAAAGGCATTCTTGATAAAAGTTTTTGCTAGTTTAGAAAATGCGAGTCATCATGACGAACTTCAATTTTGTTGTACAGGGTGGGTCAAAAACACAGAAATGTTATTTTGTGTAAGAGTAAACATACCTTACCTTGCAAGATACGAAAAAATGCATTATTGATGAAAGTTTTTGCTTTCAAAATGAATAAGAGTCACGTTGTCAAAAATATAATATTTTATACAGGGAACAAAGCACAAAACTAAAATACGTCTTATTCAATTGTAATTTTTAAATAATACAAACATTATTACAACAACAATTAAGCCAAAAGGAAGTACACAAAGCAATATGATGATGATATCAAATTTCAAAAACACCACCCGCATTTTTCTAATTGCTCCCTTAGATATCTGAAGCAATTTCTGATTTCTTCCTGGGATATAGAACGGACAGCCTGGGTAATTCTGCCTTTCAACATTTAAATATTATTTGGTATTGGAGTAGCATGGACAAACCCATAGAAACATATTGGCCATGGTTAGGTCAGGGCTCCTTGGGGGCCACAAAATTGGACCATTTCTACCAATTCATCTTGAACCAAATCTATGGTTAAGCCATGCTGTTACCTCACAAGCACATTGTACTGGACAGCCATGCTGTTGAAAATGCATTTTTTAGCGAAAATTTAATGGCAAATTTTCGAGTTCATCGTTTAAAAATGTATCAAGCATTTTTAAGTACGATATACTATTACAGGTGTTATTGTAAAAATATGGGCCTATAATGGCATGGGCAGATATCGCGCACCACACGTTCACTTTTGTAAAATATTGTGTAAATAATGGATATAATTAATACATTTAATAAATTTAAGTTTTTCAAGCTTAATCAGGTCAATGCATTTGATAAAGAAGTCCGTAAATCTAACTAAAAAAAATCTTTATAGTAAGTCTTAAAATGGTCCCTAATTATCAAAATACGACAAACTACGTTGTCTATGTGAACACTGAACAATCTATTGGTTCAATATGACACCGAGATCCTTAGCACTAAAAGCTTATTTAACAACAGTGTAAATTATACTAACTAAGGTTATGTTCAAATGCAATTTGGTTTCAAGTAATATTAATGTGACTGCTCTTTCTGGTGTTAATTATTAAGTAATTAATCTCAAAAAGTGTCCCTCTATTAATTGTATCCACCCATCCATATAGGCCATCAAAGGCAATGCTCGATTCTCTCATAAATCTTGATAATTCACTACTTTACGTCAAGATTAACAAACCTCATGATTCTCTACGTCAATATACGATTTTAAAAGATTAAATGTTCCTAAGCATCACTATTCGGTTACCTTTTTGTATAAAATAAAGGAGTCAGCAACAGTAAAGCCAACGTGTATGTTGAAGAACATATTTCGACATAACATTTTAAAAGGATTTTTGGACCAAACTAATGGAATACAATCGGACACCAGCTTTATCTTGAAACTGAACCTATAGTTCCTAAATTTCCTTGCAACAACGGGAAAATCTGATGGCACTCTAGAGCACAGCATTTGCAGAATGCCAGCCTACGTTGATGGGATCTGAACGTATCAGAAACAGGTATCATTAACAAATTATTACATTGTCAACACGTCATCTACAATTCGGAACATTTGGAAGCGGAACTATATCTCCTACGATGAGCTCTTAGATGAAATGGATATACTAACATGAATATTGAACAAGTAGAATATCTACCACCAAGAAAAAGGCAGAATATCTGGTAATATCTATAAACACTACATGTAAGGATATATTTGTAGGAATGTAGAAAGAAAGCACAATATTACATCTACATCAGCTCAAGGAGTATAGGAGCAGACGAGCTGCAAAAACAATCTATTCCAAAAATATAAGAACATTGGATAAAAAAGGAGATTCATTAACACGAGATTCAAGAAACGCAAGTGCCACCAAAAGAAGAACAATGTCGCGAAATCAGCAGTTGTTGAGTACAGGTCAGAAATAGGGCATTCAATGGACCTAAGTAATAAGGGAATTCTAGTGAGAGGAAAATATCGACTTGAAGACTTAAGAAGTTTCTTGTGAAGAAGAGAGAGATGTGTCAAAAATGTTCACACCGATGACGTAGCAACCAGTCCAAAAATTATTTAATCAAAATACTCAATATTTAATATTCCTAAGGTTCACGTTCTTCTGTTACTTTTCGTATTTATATTCCTCAAATGAGCATTTTAATTAGTTTTCCTTTATTGCAATTTGTACTCGCAACACCTATAATTCAATAAACAGTCCGCTTGTATTGTTAAACAAAATTGCTGTAACTAGGTATATTTCCATCGTTTCGTATCATCCTGTAATTATTGCCAACTGTTGGATGTCACAAATAAAATAAAGTAAAACAGAATTATTTTATTCAATCACAAATGCTGAAGTTTGAAGATGACGATACTGATCATTCTGTAATGTTTAATCTATTATTCTTGTCAGTAACTGAACTAGGTACATATGCACCGACAAAGAATAACTGTAAAATTTATGACTTGCTCTTGTCATTCCCGGATCGCAACAGATTATAAAAGGCCATTGTCGTGAGTTGGAATTCAATTCAGAATTACGGATTATTCCGTATTATTTTTATACTAAAGCTGGTCTATCTCCTGGTAGCAGGTAGGCTCCGAACGGAAAGATGAATAGAATTAATTCTAAATTGGATTTTTTCCCGTCGGCTTTCACGAACTTTTCTATTCCAAATTGAAACGCGAATGTTTTGTTCAGGAGATAGTACTGCAATTAACCTGGCGCTATTATCATCTTCAGGAAGCAACAATGGGGTTTTTAAGTATTTCAGTAATTTGTTGAATAAAACTATCACGAATAATAAAACTTATGGTAAACTTTATCATTAATGTCGCACAGAAAAGCTTTTCTAAAGGCAGTTATGCACGTAAGGATAACTCTGCAGGCAAAATTCGCTAATAGGTACTTATTTCATCTACACACAAAATCCGTGCAAACTAAACGATTTATCATATACATATCGCCAAATTCAATTAAAATATTTATTAAGACCCTCCTTTGCTGATATTGTATACTAGTCCAAGAGAATTAAGCTCAAAACCTTCGAGATATGGCTGTTGCTTGACGTAGATTAAATATTGGTAAAAATCGGTCGAAAATAATATAAACAATGAAAATATAAGGTTGCGCCAAGAAAAAAAGTTGTGCTATTCGCAGAAAAAATTAAAAACTGCAAAAATACTCAAAAATCACGTGTTTTTCCTAACATTTTCCAATATAACTTCTTAAATATGCAGTTTACAGAAANCTGAATTTTCTTGATTATCATCAATACACATGTTGTGAATTATAGCTAATGCTATAATCGCTGCCTTTGCAGTATCAAGACTTACTTGCATGCCATTAAAAAAACAACGAAATTTGTTTTTCCATTGGCCAAACAATCTCTCGATCACGTTTCTAGTGCGAATGTGACTTCTGTTATATGCCTCCTCTGCATCAGTGACTGGATTTAAGAGAGGAGTCAGTAAATATCTTGTACATGTGTATCCATTATCACCAAGCAAAATACCATTTATTTCCCCATTCTACAAAGAAACAAGTAATAGCTACTTAGATGAGTATCTATAAAATAACTACCTCAAATTTTCTTCGTAATGAACATTGGCTCCAAATTCTTGAGTCATGAGATGAACCCCTCCATCTTGCAACAATGTCTCGTATCTTACACTTTGCATCACAAACGACCTACAAGTATTTGGGGATAAATAAGTATTTTATGTTATTTAATAAAAACTTACCTGAACATTTAAGGAGTAATATCCTTTTCTATTGATATACAATAAAGGGTTATCTCCTCCGGGACATTTAATTTTAATGTGGGTACAGTCGATCGCACCCACTATAGATGGACAATTGCCAATGTGAAAAAAATCTTCTTTTACAACATCAACTTCCGGTCCTTCAGGAAAAGATATATACTGTTCCCTATATGCTGCTATTGCTCTTACTACTCTAGTTATAATATTGCTCATGGATGACTGAGAAATACCATGTATATCACCTAATAAATAGTACTTATAAATACCACACAACTACTAAATTTGGGTATATATTAAGCTAAAAATGTATTTAACTACCTATGTCTTGCTCATATGCTCCTTTAGCAAGGTATCTTATTGTAGCTAAGACCTGAAGTCCTGGACTAATTCCTCCTCCTCTATTGCTTACAGAAATTTGTTGATGAACCATATTGATGATATTTTCAGCTAGATTTTTGCTTATTCTGTAAATTTGTTTAAATTTCGAATCATAATATTCTTCAAAAGGATTTATTCTTCTTACATATACTTTTGGATTTCTGGGAATTTGCCCCAATTGGGGTTCCTCAACCTCGACTACTTCTTGGTTAATATCAATTAAGTCTTCTACATTCATATTCATAATTATGACTAAAATAGGTAATATGGTGTATATATATATAACATAATAATGTATACATCTAATCGGGTACAACTTACCTGTATAAAATCTTTACTACTATTCACAAGGGTAACAATTCTAACAACTAACATTTGATTTGACAAAAGTTAGGTTAACTTAAGCATGGTGTAAAACATACCCAAACTTATTACTAAGGATTTAGTATCATTCTAGTGTTAAAATGATGTTAAATGTAATTATTAATATGCTTTTTACTAATTTAGTTTTAAAGTCATGTTAGAATAATCTAAATTTTATTATTAATAAGGCTGTAAGTATTTGATATAGAAATCAACTTACTACAATTTGTCTTTTGAACAAACACATTTACTTCTTAGAAATTGCAAGCAAATGATCAAAGTTTAATTATTTTTTAAATTAGAAACTTTGAACTGCGTCTTTGTTATTTGCTTATATGTTGTGTTGTTCTATATCTCATGTTTGCAAGACACTTCTTCCTGAAAGGGACTAAAACAGTAGATATTTAATACAGCAGTCTGCTTATTAAAATTTGTCTTCCGAAAAAACAAATTTATTTCCTAGAAACTGCTTAAATCTCTTGCTATACCAGAACGACCATTTAAATCGCTTGCTTATACAGGGTGATTCAGAACTTAAAAAAAAAATTGGATGTACAAGGGACTCTTAAAGATACAATTTTGTAAAGAAAAAAATTAACAGAGCAGTTCGAAAATGATTTAAAAATACACTTTTGCAGAGTATTAGAAACTGGTCCACTGTAGAACCTGACCACGCACAATGCGACGGGCACGAAGTGTGATAAAAACGATCAAAAACTTGAAAGAATAAATCGAATTTTATAGCACTATTTTATATCAGCAAATTCAACTGCTTCTGCCGCTATTGTTATTATTATTAATAAAATTAATTTGTGGTTTAAATTAATAAAATAATATTGGCATTGTAAACACATTTGGGCCCGTCTTACTCAGTGTCTACGAACTAACACAAATGTTGTCCTGCTTCGCCATAATACAAATGCTTCACCATAATACAAATGTTGTCTTGCTTCACCATAAATTAAAACGATATCCACTAACTCCGAGTTGCTATACACGCAAGCCATTTTTGAAACTAACTACTCAAAAACTATTGTAAACACTATAGCAACGACAATTGTAAAATCGGAATTCAGTATTCGGAGTCGCAGAGACCACGTGGATCTCCACGCGTATTGCGAATGACGCTAGAGACTGCAGTTGTCCAGCGATGTAATGCTTGAAAGTACTACAACTTCAATAATTTTTTTCTCGAAAACTGTAAGGATTTTACAAATTTTGTTTTACGATATTGACTCCATTTTTCATGCCACATCTATTCCCAATTTTTTTTTAATGAGTTGTGAATAAACTTGTATACAGACTGTTACAAATTCGCTTCTCACTGCAGGGATACATGGAAATTTTATTACATTTTTTGCAAGCCGTCATGACCCCCCAATACAGTATTGCCTCATCCCGACGCAGATTCAGACATTTTGTCTCGAAAAATTCATCTTCAGTGTATTCGTTCCAAATTTATCTAAATTTTTTATTTAGATTTCTTTGTTTATTAAATTATCGTACACTGTAAGTGTCGTTAGACTCTGTGAAATCCATCTAGTTATTTAAACTATTACCACCACGCATTAAAATAGAATATTATTAGAGTTTTATTCCCGTGTCCATAGTTCTCGAGTGCTCAAAGTTCAAACAAATTCCGATCTATTTTTTTGAGGATATTCATACAAATACATCTGACATGCTCTTTCATAGTTGCGATTGCAGATATAATAAATTCTGATAATATTACGCTGATCTTCATTTTCTACCTTTGCCAAAACGAAAATGTTTTTGAACATTTACTGAAATTTAAAAAAAAATAATATTCAGTTGGCATTTTGATTGTTCATATGCATTTTTAAGAATTAATTTGTCATAATAAAATTAAAATTTTAATAATGATTTAATTTTGATGCAACAACTTATTGAGTTATGTATGACCAAGTGATGGTAATAGTTAATAATAAAAAATGTTTTATTGTAACGTGTGGTGGTAATAGTTTAAATAACTAGATGGATTTCACAGGGTCTAACGACACTTACAGTGTACGATAATTCAATAAACAAAGAAATCTAAATAAAAAATTTAGATAAATTTGGAACGAATACACTGAAGATGAATTTTTCGAGACAAAACGTCTGAATCTGGTTCGGGCTGTAAAATGTACCTAATAAAATTTCTAGGGTCGTATTTAAAAAAATGATGGTCCTGGAGAAACGAAAAATTACATATAAAAATTGATTATGTCATTCGACAGAGGGCAAAAAGTGGTCATGAGAAAGTATTCTTTTTTTTTTCAATATCACCTCAAACAAGGCTGAAATGAAACAAAAACGGATTTCCAGAATTTCTGTTTTTCTTCAAATACTAATCATGTTTGCCTTGATTTCTTAGAGGCATAATGGTGGTCCCCTGATTAATTTAAGCTACTTCGTACCTCTTACCGTTTCCGAGATGTAGTGAGAAGCGAATTTGTAACAGCCTATATAGTTACATATTTCTGCACGAGATTTCTTTCTAAGAGTGCATAAAACAATAATTTGATACCAATCTGCTAATTAAAAAATAAATCTGCTTATTAAAATTTAGTTTTTGACATAACAAATTTGTTTCCTAGGAACCACGAGGAAGTGATAATGGTTCAATTCCTTGTTGAACTAGGAAATTAAAAATATTTAGTAGACTTTATTTTATATGCAAATTTCAAATGTATACCATTATTAGACAAAAGAGTATAAGCATATACCTTTACGAACGAAATCTAATTTTTTCTACACTTCATACTACAGTTCGCACAACTTTAACATAAGTTAATTTATTCCTATTTGTATACATCATTCGACTGGCTGTGGCTCTATTGATTTGTTAAAATGCGTTAGGGACATTTCTTAACATTTCACATACAATTAGTCGTCTACAAACCTGTTTTGTTGTAAACTTGTCGATGTGTTCCCGTAATACAAACATGGTCAAGGTTTATTGTATAACATTTCTGGTGAGAATACTAAGTGCTCATTTGTAACTTTTCTAGGCTATGTTGCAGGTAATCATCATGTTCTTCATCTAGAAATCATTTTCGTTAATAAATTTTCTTTAGCATTTTGTAAATCTACAGAGATGTCAATCAACTTATCAATGCCGAATTATTGTCTATTCTTGTAGTACACATTTTAGGAATGACGAATTTCTCAAAGCAATAAGTTTATATAACAAAGTACACTTGAATTCATTTTTCACACAAATTCATAGACTAAAAAAGTACAATGCCTACAATTTAAACAATAATCACGTTTTCAAAATTCTTCGTGGATTGCCGTATTAGATTATTCGAGTAAGGTTTCTCCTAATACAGTTGATTCCACGTTATTTCAGAAAAAACACTAATACAACAGGAAAATATTAAACAAATTCGACAACTCTTTGTGTTAATAATTCTGAATCGTTACAAAAATATAAAATGGTATGTCAATATAGCGAAAAAAGGCAAATAAAACGGCATTTTGGCGAAATCAGAGATGGAAATGGAATATGATGAGGAACATAACAGGGAAGTAGCAGATACCTAAATATAATTCAAGTTTATTGCATAAAGACGCAGAGAACAAGATAATTAGAGCAGATTTATTCGAAAGTTTTAAGAAAGACGTAAGGAAAGCGTCGTTATAACCTTGGAAATATGTCTAAAATTTATCTGTTTTTACTTATTTATTTGTGTATCGAAACTTAAGCTAGCAGATCGATATACCACAGTTAGTTTTTCATTTGAGGTTATTTATGCGACAAAAATCGGATACAGTGAACACTTAAACGCGTGGATAGTTACACAAACACAATTGTCACCAAAATAACCGTATAAACGGATAGGTACTTGTACAGCACTACACGCACCACGAGATGATTTAATGGGGACGATGGGAATAGTCAAAGACAACGCACGACACCCATAGAATGGTGTGGGGTCACTAAATGATGAGGGCATTTACTCCAATTTAGGGACAAGTCTACCAAATATAAGTTGATCTGGAGAATTTATTTAACGGGTACCTATATTTGAGTGGAAATACTCAGTTTTAGTTCAAATATTATCACAAATGAGTAAAATGATCAAAATTCTAAATATTGAGTGAAAATGTCGCTCACGTGTGATAGAATTGTTAGATATGAAAAAAACTGAAATAACCCATAGGTAGGTACAGCAAAATCAACCAATATCACTATTACATCTGGGTACCATTGATACACAATTTTTATGCTCAATTTTTCGGTAGGTAAATGCACTACATTACAATTTTAAACCATATAACATTACAATTATTTTTATCATTCTGGATTAATTTCTTATTTCAGTTTTAAATTTAAGTTACCACGTAATCTAATATAATAATTTTAAGTCAGCATGATTTCACCATTAAGACTTACTTTTTAAAATAGTAAGGCAGTAGTAGAAGCTGTTATAATCGAGGTGTCAAAAACGCCACTAAGTAGTTAGATTGAATTGATCTAGATATCCAGCTATTGGTTCGGATCCCGCTCTAAAGGTTTCTATCATACATTATTATTTCGTTAATTACTTTTCGTCATTAAATCCTAACGAATTCCAAAGGAAGTTTATAGGTAGGTATTTGATTCAATTTCCAGTAATTATAACTATGTTTGTTTGAGGAATGAATGAAGCGTGGGTTTAAAAGGTATGTAATTGAGAATAGAATACTGCTTTCTCCATGTAGAGGACTATACAGGGTTATCCTTATAACATTTTATCCCCCTAACTTTTTTATTTAGACAAAAATAGTAAATATAAAAGTTGTAGGGAATGCCTTTGTGAGTTTAATGAGTTTACAAAAATATAAATTATACAGGGCTTTCCAAAGATACGAACCAAACTTGTTTTTTTAAATGGAACACCCTTTATATTGCCGCAACAACAACTATTACTACTTCTTCTACTGTAACTACTACAATTACTATTACTAAGTACCTATCACCAGCGTCAACGGTACTACTACTACTATTACCACTGCCATCATGGTTGATATTGCTATTATTTTTTTTATAATTTATTAGATTATATCTTGTGGACTGATGAGGCCACTTTTACAACAAATTGTGGTTTTAATAATAATAATAATAATANTGTGTCTTATAGCAAATTTCATAACAAACAATTTCAGCAGTAATAGTTTTTTCTGTAAACTGCATATTTAAGAAGTTATATTGGAAAATGTTAGGAAAAACACGTGATTTTTGAGTATTTTTGCAGTTTTTAATTTTTTCTGCACATAGCACAACTTTTTTTCTTGGCGCAACCTTATATTTTCATTGTTTATATTATTTTCGACCGATTTTTACTAATATCTAATCTACGTCAAGCAACAGCCATGCCAATGTGTAATTCTCCTGGACTATACTGTTTCTTTTCAATTCTACAAAATACCGACGACATGGAGCAGGAAGTAAGTTATATCAAGACGTAGTATAGAATGTCAAAACCTCTTCAACTCCTTTATTTATTTTCAATTTTGTGATAAATTTCTCCGATTGTATTAGACATCTCGTATACCCAAAGAAATACAGAACTTTCGATTTTCCACAAAAGATACTCCAGCTATTTGTTCCTTATTGCACGATGCTTCGCTGACGCTGTTTTTATGGGTCTATTTGGTGAGAAAAATAAAATCGCCACTTTTCCCGAAGAATATAAATAGAAGATCTCGCTTTTTATTCTTTACGATTCCTGTTCTCTGGAGAGGCAATTTTGATTGGCATTATTTCACGGCATTAATTAGATGATGCACATAATGTTAAAAAATATTAGTGTACTCTAACATATTCTTTAAAGGAAATTGAGGAATTATTCTTTATAATTAATTAAATGTATATTTACAATATTACATCATAACACTAATAAGTAGGGGAGATCGTTATCAACTATAACAAGAATTACATTACTCATCTTAGAGTCTCAAATGTTTGAGGCAATTTCTAGTGATTTATTATCAAATATGATTATATGCTTCCAAAATATGTAAATACGACCTAGAAAATAAAAAATAAAAAATATATATCTGTTACAAATTACACCTGGTCAAAATTGAAAGGCTCAGAAACCAATCAGTGCTAGTCACTAAATATAGAAAATGAGAACATTGGCTATTTGTAAAACTTGTAATAAAATAAAGATTCCCGTAAAGATACTGATAATTAATTATATTTATTGAGATATAGGTAACATTTCATACATTCATACATTTCATACATCTCAACTTTAAGAAGAAATCTTCAATATATAACTCAATTTCCAGAGACTTACACTGATTGTCTATCTAAAATGCCTTTATTTTTTTATTTATTAATTTCAAAATTCAAATTGAAGTTGATTAAATAAGCTAACTGACCTCTATATTGATTGAATTTAAAACATTTTTTATCTAAAGATATTGAAACTTATAGCTTCTTTGTTTATCTCTATACGACCATTTTTCACGGAGATATAACCTTTGAAAGAATCACTAAAAAATTCGTTGTTCCATTCATTTCTTCCTGAATAATTGACATATTTGCGCTTTCCTTTGTATTTGTCAATAGAATGTGGAAAAATTATGTCTTGCTTTTCCAAAAAAAGTTATAATGTTCCCACGATTAAATAGTAACACCAAATTTAATGAAATTTTCAATAATTTAGTTATTTTATATCCACTTAACTTACATCGGTTCAATAATAAGTAGATATTTTCAGCAAGATGCTTTTATGTAAAAGAGGGAAATTCAGAAAATATGATTTTAACCACAAAATAAAATTAACCAGGAGTATGTTTTCGCAAATATTATTGCCATTTTGTTCAATAATTCTAGCGCTGTTGGAAGGTACAATTCTTTAGAAAAACGTTGTATATTTCTTGCGAGAACAGAAAATTAGATTTATTTTATATTCCGGAGGAGCAACTTTGTTATTATAGGAGTTAACTTTGACACTTGTAGGTATACATTCCTTGATATTTAAGACCTTCATAAATATCCTCACAATGCCAATTTTCCTTTGCCCCGGAAAAGCCGTATTTTCCTAGCGTTTTATCCACCTCCTTTCAGCAGATCCAATAAAACAAAGTGTTGAACAACTGCAAGGACGTCGTGCCTCGAACAACTGAGGTGCTAAATTCCAATTGTGGCTCCAAATTGTAAACAGAAAAGGAACAGTCCAACCCTCCGACATTGTGCTGTTACAAACGGTCGGCGCGAAAAGTAACTAGTTTCACCCACTGCTACACGGGTATTTTTCTAGGACGGAACAAAAATTCAATTGTTTAGCTTGCAGTTGCAGGAAAGGTCTTTCCAAGTGGTTTGCTGTGGTATAATTCATTTTATTCTCGTTTCGTTCAGCTGTACTGTATTTTTCTGTATTTCATTAACACAGGTACATTATAGTACTGGTCAAAACTCCCCTTAATGTGTTGATTCCTGTAGGAGTTTTCAAAAATTAATAAAACAGTATATACAATTTATAAAATAACAAATGATCATTGTACAATTTCAATAGTTTAATTCATGAGATATAAAAATTCTTTTCCGTTATTTATTAGCTTAAATGTAATTATCTGAGCCATTTATGTGCGAGACTTATGTCTAAAAGTAAATAAAAGAAAAAATTGCTGCATATAATAATTTATTTGTCTTTCGAAAAAAAAAAAAAAAAACTCTGCAAGTAATAATTGGGGTTAAATCCTTTTTTTAACCAGAGAGATAATTTTACTGCGTTTATATTATTTGTATATACATATGAAATATCTCATTTTTGCACGAGATTTGTAAAAGTGAATAAAAGAGTAATTTGAGACAGCAATCTGCTTATTAAAACCTGTGTTCAGCATAACAAAAATACTGTCTAGAAACTGATTGCAAGCAAATAAATCTGCATTCTAATTTCTGCTCATATATGGTTATATATCTCACTTTTCCAAGAGATTCTCTTTTTAAAAGTGAGTAAAACAGTAAATACTTGATAAAGAAATATGTTCATTAAAATTTGTCTGCCGAATAAAAAATGTATTTCTAGTAAAATAAAATATTATTTGCATAAGTACTGTTATGTATCTCCTTTCCGCGCAAGATTACTTCCTAAATGAGAGTAAAACAGTAACAGCCTTATTAATAATAAACACGATAACAGCATGTTAACTAATGGTTACTAAGAGCATACTTACAGTATGCTAAGCAAATTATATTAATAATTGAATACTTAGAAACATGTAACAAACAACATGTTTTTGTACAATAAACATGACAACAACGTAAAATACGTAAACGGCTATATTCGCTCATATTTCTCTTTATAAAATTTATTTGATGTTCTGTCACGTTCTGTGATATAAGATATACGTCTGTGCTCTGTATTGGTAATGTTCGATGTTCTGTTATGTTGTGATTCTAACCTTTAATTTTATTAAGGGAAATTCGGAGATTTTTGTTATCCTGAATATCTGTTTTATTATCACTATGGATAAGGTAAGAGGAAGTCCCATTTGCGCACCACTGTCATGGTTAAAATTCGTATTAATTTTAATTTGGTTACAGAAACGTCCAAGATCTGTGAATTGGGAAGAAAAAGAAAAACTTGTACTGCTAGACGGAGTTAAAGACAACATAAAAGTATTAGAATGTAAAAGGAAGTTAACAACAGCTAATAGAGACAAAGCAGCAGCCTGGAATATCATAAAAAGAAAATTAGAAGTTCAAGGTAATATTAACTGAAAATTATACCTCACTCTTTATTAATCGTTTCATTGCCGCTAGGCTACTTCAGAGATATCCCCAAAATCAAACAGGAATGGCAACGACTAAAGGTACAAGCAAAGAAAAATATTTGTTCTTATAAAAAAGATAAACTTAAAACTGGTGGTGGTCCAGCTCCTAATGAACCAACAGAACTGGATTGGATTATATATGACCTAATCCCTTATGAATTTCAAGAAGACACAAGTGCTTACGATTGTGACCAAAATAAAACAGAGGTAGGTATTCTCTATAGTACTCGCTATGGCACTACAACACAATGCTTTAAAAAAAAGGAAAAACCGTTAAAAGAAGGGTATTGTTTTTAATTTTTATCATGTATTAAAAAGAAAAACTAATAAATATGTCAAGCTTGCAAAGAAACAGTTTTATTGTTGCTACGATATAAACCACCACAATTTGTTATGATGAAAGTATTATTTTTTATTCTGGTTGGCCAACATCGATAGAATAATAAAACAAATTAAGCAAATTGGCAGATATAATATTACTGATAGGTATTTTTATTAATAATTAGCTGCACTAAGAAACATTTAAAAGAGAATTATAATTAGATATGTTTTAGGAAAATGTCTCTCAAAACGTGGTTAGTCAAATTCAAGATAATTTAGAATCTGTACAAGACGATATTATATTAGAATTTCAAGATGAGCAAGGCGAGTGCATAACAACCGAAAGTTTAATTGTGGAGGTATGTATGTAATTAATATTTGTGATGTTCTTTAGTAAGAACTGTTTTTTTAGAAAATCGTCGAAAAAGGTGTGATTGAAATTGATAAAACTGTCGAAAAAACTACAGAAGCAGCTACAACACCATCAAAGGTATAGATTACTAATATTTTATATAACTGTAGGTATATACATTGTATTTACTATTTATAATGAGTGATGAGTTTCATAATAGAGATAATTAATCATTTTAAACAGCCCCCAAAGACAAGAAAACAGAAACTGAACCATATGACTGAATATGAAAATAAATTATATGATCTCAATAAGAAAAGAATAGAGCTACAAATGCAACAGTTGGAGGAAATGCACAAGTTGAGAATGAAAAATGAAAAGGAATATCATCAGAGACGTTTAGAATTACTGGAAACAAACAAGTATTACCGCTTTTTTTAAATAGTTTTTAATAATAATTTTGTAACTATTTTCTCTTGTAGGTAGGTGTGGAAAACAAACGTGAATTTAAAATAAATAAAATATATTTTTCTATGTATTTATTTCAATGTTAAATATAATTTACATTTTTTATTTTTCTTTTTCTTATCATTTTAAATTTGTCGGCATGCAAAAACAAAACAAAAAAATTGATATACACTTAAAAATGTAAATTTAGAAAAATGCGAAAATATATTTTTTAATTATAATTTATATTATTGAATTTTTTATTTAAATTCGTACAACTTATCATATGAGAAAAAATTATCTTTGGTGGTTTCTAAAATATCTCTGTATATACTGCTGTCGAAAAGCGGCCCCTAAGAGGTTTCCTTCCTCATTCTGTCTTGGATTTAGTAAATCTTCATCTTCAGAATCTACATCTACAAATAATATTCTAATTTGTTTAAATATTTAAGGGGTAAGTGTTTTCTAACCTGAATTTTCTTGATTATCATCAATACACATGTTGTGAATTATAGCTAATGCTATAATCGCTGCCTTTGCAGTATCAAGACTTACTTGCATGCCATTAAAAAAACAACGAAATTTGTTTTTCCATTGGCCAAACAATCTCTCGATCACGTTTCTAGTGCGAATGTGACTTCTGTTATATGCCTCCTCTGCATCAGTGACTGGATTTAAGAGAGGAGTCAGTAAATATCTTGTACATGTGTATCCATTATCACCAAGCAAAATACCATTTATTTCCCCATTCTACAAAGAAACAAGTAATAGCTACTTAGATGAGTATCTATAAAATAACTACCTCAAATTTTCTTCGTAATGAACATTGGCTCCAAATTCTTGAGTCATGAGATGAACCCCTCCATCTTGCAACAATGTCTCGTATCTTACACTTTGCATCACAAACGACCTACAAGTATTTGGGGATAAATAAGTATTTTATGTTATTTAATAAAAACTTACCTGAACATTTAAGGAGTAATATCCTTTTCTATTGATATACAATAAAGGGTTATCTCCTCCGGGACATTTAATTTTAATGTGGGTACAGTCGATCGCACCCACTATAGATGGACAATTGCCAATGTGAAAAAAATCTTCTTTTACAACATCAACTTCCGGTCCTTCAGGAAAAGATATATACTGTTCCCTATATGCTGCTATTGCTCTTACTACTCTAGTTATAATATTGCTCATGGATGACTGAGAAATACCATGTATATCACCTAATAAATAGTACTTATAAATACCACACAACTACTAAATTTGGGTATATATTAAGCTAAAAATGTATTTAACTACCTATGTCTTGCTCATATGCTCCTTTAGCAAGGTATCTTATTGTAGTTAAGACCTGAAGTCCTGGACTAATTCCTCCTCCTCTATTGCTTACAGAAATTTGTTGATGAACCATATTGATGATATTTTCAGCTAGATTTTTGCTTATTCTGTAAATTTGTTTAAATTTCGAATCATCATATTCTTCAAAAGGATTTATTCTTCTTACATATACTTTTGGATTTCTGGGAATTTGCCCCAATTGGGGTTCCTCAACCTCGACTACTTCTTGGTTAATATCAATTAAGTCTTCTACATTCATATTCATAATTATGACTAAAATAGGTAATATGGTGTATATATATATAACATAATAATGTATACATCTAATCGGGTACAACTTACCTGTATAAAATCTTTACTACTATTCACAAGGGTAACAATTCTAACAACTAACATTTGATTTGACAAAAGTTAGGTTAACTTAAGCATGGTGTAAAACATACCCAAACTTATTACTAAGGATTTAGTATCATTCTAGTGTTAAAATGATGTTAAATGTAATTATTAATATGCTTTTTACTAATTTAGTTTTAAAGTCATGTTAGAATAATCTAAATTTTATTATTAATAAGGCTGTA